CACGCCGGCTGTACCTACTGCTTCTGGACCAGGTCGCTGTAGGCGCCGCGGTTCAGGGCCTCCCGGATCATGTCGCAGATGTGGGAGCTCTCGCCGGGACACCTGGGCAGCCCGTACACACCTGAGACACAGAGCGGCGTCAGCCAGGGATAGGGGTTATGGGGGCGGGGCTTAGCTGGTTAGAGGGAAAAACCCTCTGATGCTCCACCCACAGCCTGCTCTATAAATCTGATCGGCCAAAACGTGAGGCCTCTCCTGGTTTCTTATTTTATCACCTGTCCTCCAAAACACAAATGTTTACCTACTTATTCTCATCATTCATCTCGTCATTTATTCCCCCTTTTTTTTTTAAATGTGCCCCCCAAACCCCACCATAATGTTTGCTATTTTTTTTTATATATTTATAGATAGATCACATCACAGGTGTCTCAGTGATGTCATCACCTTGGTGCTGGCCGCCCACAGAGATCAGCGTCTTCATGGGGGGGGAGGGGCAGCGCTGGGCCACGGCTCTCCTGTAGGGGGGGGAGCAGAGCGGGTGAGGCTGGGTGACTGTGGGGGGGCAGTGGGTCCGGGAGGGGGGTCACTCACAGGAACTGGGCCCCCTGGGAGAAGCCCATGGCGTTGTAGCCCCCCTGCAGCTGGGGGTCCTGGGCCAGCTGGCTGCACGCCATCGCCACCTGCTGGTTCACGTCCAGGAAGAAGCCGTTTTCTGTGTCCTGTAAAGAGACCAGGGGGGGTTTCAGAGGCTCACAAAGGCGCCCCACCAGGTCCAGGTCTCCCAGGTCCAGGTCTGACCTGCACCACGTTCTTCCCGATCATCAGAGATAGCACGTAGACTCCAGGCAGCTCCTCCTCCAGCATCTTCTTTATGGAGCCCATGCTGAGCGGGTTGCAGCAGCTGTCCCCTGGAGCAGGCAAGAGGTCAGGGACCAGAGGTTATGAGGCCAGACACCAGAGGTCAGGCCAGCTCACTGAGGAGAAAAAGGCTGCAGATTGAGATCTGCACAGTTTTCAGCCAGCAGCTCTTTGGGCCAAAGAAAACCCAGTCTGACAGACAGGAAACAGGATTTGTGAGGATTCCCAAAGAGCTGCTGCTGAAAACTGGGCAGGTCTCAGCTGGTGAGCAGAGAGTCCTTAAACCATCTGAGGAAACTGGACCAGTGGAGGACAGAAGAAGAAGAGTTGGGCCTAAAAAACTCTCTAATCAAGGAGAGGAAGAGGATCTGAAAGGTAAAGCGGAACAGATCCTGCAGACGGCTGATCGTCTCCTGTTCAGAATCGCCCTCATGGACGGCGTCACTCAGTTCTTGGTGTTACAGCTCAACAGGCCCAGAAATTACGTCAAATTTAATAATCCTGACCAGCTGCGGCTGGGAGCCCTCCGGCTCCATGGGGGACTCACCCATCCCGTGCCACAGCACCACCGGAACAGTCTCGTTGTTCGGGCCACGAACCGGGCCGGAGGACACCAGCATTAGCGGGGCAGCCAGGAGCAGAACCAGGAACCAGGAACCAGGAGCCATCCTGAAACTGGAGCCAACTGTGTCACACTTCCTGATAAAAGCCCATGTTGGAACCCCCCAAAACCCCAACCATCCCCTCTTGGGCTTCTCTGCCGCTTTGGACCATAAAACACAATGTGTCTCTAATGTGCGTGGCCAAAAAGTAACTCGTTAAATTGAAGTGAAATCAAACAGAAACAGTTTTACAAAGATGTAAGAACCAGAAGAACGAGCTTTAACAGCTAACTCCACCTTTACACTGTATAAATCCACATTTCAGACGTCTAGGCAGAAATATTGTCTAACTCTCATTAAAATCTAACAAACACAAACAGCAGATAGAGTTTAAAAAGCATTTCTGAGGAGATAAGAAGCAAAAACGTCGCTCACCACAGCGCTTTTCGTCTCTTCCTGCTCAACTGGTCATGTGACCAATGTTTGGGCCGAGCGGCCAATCAGCGCCAAGGGGCGGGGTTTAGTCTGGTAATCGCTTCCGCGTTGGCAAGTTAATGTAAACTTTAACTCCTTTAAATCAACTAAACAAGCCGAACCAGAACAGAATAAACGTCTCAGAACTTCTGGGATCCGGTTCCATCCCCTGAATTGGGTCCAGGTCCTCGTCTCTGACCTGGGGGAGTCCTGCCCCCCCCACCCCTCGCCGTGCTGTGATGGGGGCTCACCAGCAGAGGGCAGCACTCCCCCACAAGCCCCAGAAAGCTGCTCAGGCCCCGGTTCTGCTGCGGTTCTGACCCAGAAACTCTGGTGGGGTCTCCTCCTGGTTCTGACGAAGGTCTGCCCCTGGTTCTGATGGAGGTCTGCCCCTGGTTCTGCTTCTGATGGAGGTTTTTTTAGGATCTGATGGAGGTCTGGTACTGATGAAAGTTCTTTCTGGTTCTGGTTTTGATCGAGATCTGCTCCTGGATCTGGTTCTGATGTAGGTTTCTAGTTCCTGGTCCTGATGGAGTTCCTATCATAGTCCTTGTTCCGGTTTGTTCCAGGTTCTGGTTGTGGTTCTGATGGAGGTTTTTTTGGTTCTGATGGAGGTTTTTCTGGTTCTGGTTCTGAAGGAGATTTGTTCCTGGTTCTGGTTCTGATAGATTTTTCTTGGTTCTGGTTCTGATGGAGGTTTGTTTTGGTTCTGACGGAAGTTTTTTCTGGTTCTGATGGAGTTTTCTTGGTTCTGGTTCTGATGAAGGTTTGTTCTGGTTCCGGTCCTCATGGAGGTCCTACCGTGGTCCTGGTTCCGGTCGGTTCTAGTTCTGAGCCGGTCCTTGTGGGCGGTCTGTTCCGCTTCTGGCTCCGGATGGGGGCGGGTCCTGGTCCGGGTCTCGGTCTCCGCTCGCGCGCCTCGCAGCCTCAGTCTGCGGGAGCACGCGGAGGATCGGACAGCGCGTGAGCCTCCGGTAGGTGCTGCTTCACTCAGGTGCTCTGCACTGCGCAGGCGCACACGCGCTCACCTGGTGACCATCAGCTGCCGGTTAGGAGTTAGTGAGGTTGCCAGTTTGTGAGAAATTCCCCCGAACGGCAAAGAGGGGCTCAGGGTTTTATGATGGATTTAAAACAGGGACTAACTCATGTTATTAAAAGTTTTAGTGACGTGACCTTTGACCTTTGCGGTCTGTGGGGGGGTCTGTGGTCCGGAATGAATAAGAGTAATTCTGGTAAATCAGGCAGAATGGGGGGAGTTGGCTGTTTTCTGTTTGGACCGTGGAGCTCTAAACAGAGCTGACTTCCTCCCAGCTGGACCTCCTTAGTCTGATGGTCTCACAAACTGATGACCAGCGTCACAGAGCAGGTCAAAGGTCACACGAGGGCTGCTTTAAACGATGGCCAAGCAGTCCATGGTGGATAGATTAATGTTTTTATGAGTCCTCTGAGGTCCAACGTGAGATGCTCTAAGTATAAAAAGCTTCTTAGTAAAGCCAGTATTCTGAATGATTTTTTATTTATTTTAGTTATTTATCTTATTCCCAAATGAATCTGGCCAGGCTGGGGGGCGAAGGGAGGATGTGGGGTTCCCCCGGCCAGCGAGCAGCTGCTATCTGAGCAGAGCTTTGCTCCCACAGCCTGTTTGATGTTTATCTGAAGTCACTCCTGAGCAGCTCCAGATGCAAACAGCTGCCGCCGGAGGCAGAAAGCACTGAGTGGGCTGGAGGCTGTTCCTGTGACCAACCACAGGATTCAACTCCCTTCTCTTCATCTGTGGTTTCACCCTGACCTTAAACTATTTCACACACAATCTGAACTTGCAGTTCAGCAATGAGAACATTGTTTTGAGGCTCTACAAAGGGAGAGCTTGGATGGATGGATGGATAGATAGATAGATAGATAGATAGATAGATAGATAGATAGATAGATAGATAGATAGATAGATAGATAGATAGATAGATAGATAGATAGACTCTCTTCAAAAGTCCTAAAGTCCTAAAGCTCTAAAGTATCTTCTTTCCTGATAGCATGTAGCATCAATGGATGATAGCTGTGGAATCTGTGTTCTAGCTGGATGTTAAAGCCTTAAAGCTAAACCCTCTGCTAGCATGTAGCATCAGGCTGAGCTCAGGGTGGAGCTGGAGCCTGTTTCTGGGTCCCAGCTGACCCGGCTCCCCCTGTGGGTCTGCAGAGGAGCAGCATGAGCGAGCGCTTCGACTGCGGCGGCTGCAGCGAGTCGCTGTTCGGCCGCACCTACATCCAGGTGGGGGGGCGGCCGCACTGCGTGGCCTGCTACGACCGGCTGCACGCCAGCACCTGCCACCACTGCCGAGAGGCCATCGGGCACGACGCGCAGGTATGACTCCCCCCAGAGGCCCCCTCAGGTCCCACTCAGACCCCTTCAGTCCCTCTGGGTCAGAACCAGATTAGAGTTCAACGGGGTCATGAGGGTGGGACTCCCATCATTCCTGAACGGTTTAAGTGGTTGAATGTTTGATGGAACCCAGAGAGTGGGCTGACATTTGGGTTTGAAATCCTGATTAGTTGAAAACTGCAAATCCCTGACAGAAAACTAACAGTAAAAGGACACAAAGCCAATCCAAAGAGACATAAAACAGACCAAAAGTAACCAGATAATAAACAAAATCACCACAAAACTGCACAAAACAAAACAGAAATTCATTGGGCACAAAACTACCAAAGAAAACACAATTAATGGAGAAAATCACATTAAACCACCACAAAGGTGCCACAAAGACACACAAAGCAAGCGTTAAGAGTTGTAAGATGAGCAAAAACAGGCAAAATTTGTCCAGAAAATGCACAAAATGAAGAAAAAGAAATCCATCAGACATAAAACTGTCTGAAAAAAACACAATAAATGAAGAAAAACAGATAAAAACAGCCAAAAAACTCTGCAGAAAGGAACAAGCAACAAGCAGAGGAAGAAAGAGAGATGAAGCTGATTCTTAAGCAAAAGGAGCTGAAAACACATCAAAAGGTTCATAAATCTGTTCACCATCCTGGAAATTAAATCTGTTTGTGATGACATCCAGATTTCAGGATTAATAAGACAGTAAAAAGAGGCTTTGGACAGGTGGGAGTCAGACAGGATCCACCGGATGTTTTCATTTAAACAGATGTTTCAGTTCTGGTTGATTTTAAGGAGCTTCGGACTGTGGGAACGTTTCCATGGACGGGAATATTTATGGGAAACGGCTTTCTTATCAGTTCAGTCGGCAAATATGAGTTTTTTCATAAATAAATAAAAGTTAAGTGGAGGTTTGACCCCCCCTCCCTTCAAACCAGGGAACGTAGGAGATGTTTTTCTACCGATGACATGTTTCTTCTGAAAACAGAAGGGCCCCGCGGCCCCTCACAACTTCAATAATCCACAAAATTATCTCCAAAAGAGGAAAAATAAGCTGCCAATCATCTGATTGCTGAAAAACAGACGTCACATTTTACAGGAATGTTTCTGCTCCTGGAAGCAGATCAGGGGGTAAAAGCCTCTTATAATAATGATAAATATTATAATATATGTATTGTATAAATATTGATATTGGTATTATATTTACATATATATTATATAGTAATTAATTATGATATTCAAATATTATAGTTAATGAAAATAAAATAGAAATTATTTTTATGTCAAAGTTTCCACACAGTATGGACTGGGGGTGTGCACAGGGACGGTCCTCCGGTCCTGACAGGTTCTGGTTCTGGTTCTGGTTCTGCCTCCAGGAGCTGCTCTACCAGGACCGACATTTCCACCTGCAGTGTTTCCGCTGCAGCCGCTGCCGGCGCTCGCTGGCCGATCAGCCAATCAGCTGCCAGGACGACCAGCTGCTGTGCAGCATCTGCAGCCAGGCCCAGTGTGTGGCCTGCAGCCGGAGCGTCCCGCCGGGTAGGTCTGAGGGCCCAGAGCTGGGATCTGAGGGCCAGAGGGGCCCAGAGCTGAGTTTCTGCTCCTCAGAGATGCTGTTTCAGCTCCTGAACTCATGTTTCCACTTCTGTCTGTAATATCTGCTGGAACAGAGCTCATTTAGTGGAAACCAGAGCTGGTTCTGGAGGAAAAAAGCAGGAATTCAAAGTTTAAATGTCAGATATTCAGAATTTTTTACATTTATTTTACTAATTTATCTGATTCCCAAATTGATTTGTGGGATTATTTCAGCTTCTTGTGTAAAAGCTGATGTCTTTCCATCATTTTAATGTAAAATCAGCTATTATTTTGAGAGGATTCTTCATCAAACTGAGCAGTGAGACACTTTAAGCCTCATTTTCTCTTCTCAGGTTAAACTGAGTCTGTTTTTGCTCTGAAATCAACCTGTTTCATCTCCTGAACACATGTTTCCACTTCTGTCTGTAATATCTGCTGAAACAGAGCTCATTTAGTGGAAAGCAGAGCTGGTTCTGGACGCAGAAAGTGTGAGTAGTTTCCTCTCTGGTTCTGATCAGAGGCTCACATCTGGATGAAAAACCTGCTGCTGTCAGAGCTGATCAGGCTGCTGATCTGGAGCATTTGAGGGTTTTGAATGGCAGCAAACAGTCCAGCTGTTGTCCTCAAGCCCAAAGTGGCTGTTTTC